TTTGCTGCGACTGGCCGATGAAGTTACGGATGGAAACGAGTAAACTTTCTATGGATCGGTCAAAGCGTTTGTTGCTTCAGTAAAATCATTTTCTTTCATGGAAGCAGCTCTGCCAAAGCTGATTTTAACCGATGTGTGTGACGAATCTTTGGCAGTGTTTTAGTGTTTTCTAGAACCACCAAAAAAAAAAGAGAAATGTTTCCGCTTTAGCCATTGATATACCTGATCAGCCTTGCATATGGTAACTTGTAGCGAAGGCGGCAGCTTGAAAAGTGGCAATGAATAAAGCAATTAACTCAAGCGCAGTGGCAAGCTCAGGTTTTAAGCTTGCAGCATGATCTACCGGACCAGTGAAAAGGTGAAATACGTGGATTTTTAACACTATGGAGGCTTAATTAGAAGTAGGGCTAGTTCGCTTTCATTCAACTTGAATTGTCTTTTAAAGCTCAAAATACAACTTAGACAGCAAAGAAGCACACAAGTGCAGCACTGCTTAGATTTCTCTCTTCCTGTTTCTCTGAGAAAAGATGAGCCCACACAGATGTATAAGAGCAAAAACTTCTAAACGCTTTTATAATGCAAATCAACGTGTTTTATCATACTCACATCAATTCATTTCGCCAGCTGCTACAAGTATAGCTGGTACTACAGAGACCAGCGGCTGGCCTACATGAATAACATCTAGAAGGAGATGCCCTCTGGCTATTCTGAAAATTGCTAGGTACTGTTCAGCCCACGAATTCTTTGTATATTCTGCATGGACTGTTAAAAACACCACAAAATTTCACATATTCGTGACGTCATGTACCAAGCAAGCGATTTTATGGCACACAGAAAAATGTAAATACTTAAAAAGCAATGGCAAAGAATTTGCTGCATTGAAAATAGTTCATTGTCTCATTTTTTACGTGGTCGTACATAAATGGTCACTATGTGGTGGTTACTTCCACGTCATTTATTGCCTCGCGTAACAAGCTGGTGTGCATGACCCAGAATGTTTTGACCAATCATATACTGCTAAGGACCATTTTGAAAGGAAACAACGACAGGTCGCGGGATCGAATCCCGGCTTCGGCGGCTGTATTTCTGATGGAGGCGGAAATGCTGTAGGTCCGTGTGCTCAGATTTGGGTGCACGTTAAAGAACCCCAGGTAGTCAAAATTTCGGGAGCCCTCCACTTCGGTGTCTCTCATAGTCATATGGTGGTTTTGGGACGTTAAATGCCACATATCAATCAATTAGTCAATCGAAGGAAACAACGAGGCATAGTTTAACGTTATAATCACGCAGTTTCTTTTTTTTTCAAATAAACATTTTGTTTGCACCGTTGGCGTATTATTGCAGGTGCCTGAGGGCCCTTTAGGAATTGTTATTACAAATACGATGAGTGTAAACAATGGGCTTCACCCCATTAGGCACGTGCGTGTCACAGGGCAATTTTTAGGGGTAAAGCTCCTTAAAGCGGCACTCGTTCGTCCCTCGTAGTCGTAGTCGTAGTGTGTAACAAGTGTTACATTTTGACCTGCAAGGTAGTGCCGGTGGGACATTTCGCCTGTGCTTTGTTCAACAATAAAAAGTTCGCGGCGTGCGCGTTTACTAGAAGCCGAATGTTCCGGTCTCTCATTCCCCAATAGCAGCCATTGGCATGTACATTGAGCACTATCTGACAGGAAAAAGTTGCTACGTAATACTCGCTGGGCGTAACCACCATGGTTTTAGAAAGGTTTAGCGAGCGTTCGCCCGCAGTGCCATGAATACAGTGAACTAGTATATACCATAAACTCATGGTGGTTAAAGGTGGGAAGTAGACCCGAAGAGCAAGCCGTAAGAAAGTGTGCGTGTGCCACCTCTCGTTTAGTCCTTGGAATGTCCGCTGGATGGCGTTGCTTCTATATGGGGAATATATGATGAAAAGATGCGAGATGGTGGTACTTGGAGTGTTGAATAGATGAACGAACGGACACACAGACAGATGCAGGAATGGGCGCATGAACGGTCACAGAGGCGGGTGCATGGACGAATGCAGAGACGGACGCACTAACAGACACACACACGGACGGGCGGATGGATGCATGGACGGTCACACAGATGGACGCATGGACGGATGGAAGCAAGAACTAATGGACGGACGAATGCTTCGCCCCACTCTCTGTCATTCACTCCGTGGATATGCTGCCATTTTTTGGTTCAGATGGACACCATGAGTGAGACCAATGCTTGGGCTTAGGCCCCCACCTCTTGGTACGTTATGGCATTGACAAAATCGCACTTGTGTTTGAAACACGCTCAATGAGATAGACGCGTGGCAGTACACGTTGCGGGAACTAATCGCTGAGGCCACAGTAAGATGAACTCTTTTGCCACTGTAAGGGGACGGCAGTATACCCCGCTATCGCCCTCTTCTGTGTGTGATATATAAAGCGCGTCGGTGCAGCAGTTAGAATCTGTGGCCGTTACGCAGTGGATAGCGTGCTCAGCACGCGCGGCGATGGATGGAGAGGTCATTGATTTGATGCCTTTTGGCAGAACTTTTTTTCTTTATCATGTGATTACGTACATTTATCGACGTTATTTCTAAGACGGAAATACGTCACTGAAATCTTAGTGAACTCAGGCACATATAACTGTTTCGCGTTGAAATTTCATGAACGCTAGTAATCGATTTCACGCGAAGCTGTCAGCGAGTATTTATTGGATATTTGTCATTTTCTTTCACACATGCTTTATGGGGTACATCTGTGTGTTCTTGTTAATGGACCAGTAGTGGTCGGCTACACTGGCGAATATAGAGAAATCTATTACCTGACGCAACCTCAGCACTCACGTTGGGGTACGGACGTAAATAATAGGGAGTTTTAGAATAGCGCACCACGAGCCCTTGTGGTACGGTCGCCGCTACTGCGCATGCGTCGTAACGCGAGTCTACGTTCGCGTTCGTGGACCGCACGTAGAAAATCCGAAATTGCGTGCGGTGAGGGCGTTCGCAATTGGCCCGTAAGCGCTGGTTTCGAGACTACGGTGTCGCTGCGATCGCGCGTTGCGGTTCGCAGCAGGGCAAACGCTATTCTAAATCTTATATGGCGCCCGCTACGCCCTCAGCGCTTGCAAACGGTATTCTAAAGCCCCTTATTATGGAAAAGAGGTGCGCGCTACGGTGCGGTGATGTGAATATCATTCGTCAGCGTATTCCACAGTTTTACAACAGCACTTTAATATAGCTTACCGAGTCATATTAGTGCGTATATAATGTTTATGAGTCTGTTGTAACAGCAGAGCCGTCCCTGAAGCCACGTTGATATTAACCCGACATGACGTGCGTCTGTATAGCGGGACTACATATGCAATGTTTATCTCCTTGTTTTAAATTTAAATAGCTCGCACTGTAACCATTATATCAATGCGCCAAATTGATGTCTGCACAGTGCCTTTTCTAAAGAAGATCCAAGACCTTGCGGGGTTCCGTCGTCGAATACGTGACTGTCACACAAAATGCTTGGGTTCAATGCCTGCTGGTATCTTGATTGTTATTCTTTGCATTCACCAGGTAAAGGCAGCCGATGCCAGATTTTTGAAAGGTTCTAGCGTTTAAATTACAAACTTGTCTTCTCAGTGCTCTTAGCTAGATAAAAACTTGGAGGCGCATACCCGCATATCACAGCCCGTGTTGACGAGCATGTGACACACCTGACTGAAGGAAAGAGTTTCATGACGTACACGACATGATTTTGGTTATGCCAGGACCAGACACATCTTTGCATATTCTTGTACCCCGTATGCCAATTTTGGTCTATAATAAAGTGATAAGGCGATCTGAAAGCACCAAAACCTAGTTTACCAGATATGTCGATAAATATAGGTGGAAACACTCAAAGTGCCATTGGTTCTCTAAGGATCGCTTGGCATGTAAATACTCGATTCTTTATGAGCGGGTTTCATGGCAGAAAGAAATTTTATTGAATCATACAAATGTACACTGTTGGGGAGGCTGCCATCAACCTAATTGTATTCGTACGGAAACTTTATTGATTAATGTGAGGAGTTTAGCGTCCCGAAACCACCATATATATGATTATGAGAGACACCGTACAGTGAAGAGGGAAAACTGTGAGGCGCTCTTGCTATATATATATATATATATATATATATATATATATATATATATATATATATATATATATATATATATATATATATATATATATTGATTGATTGATATGTGAGGTTTAACGTCCCAAAACCACCATATGATTATGAGAGACGCCGTAGTGGAGGGCTCCGGAAATTTTGACCACCTGGGGTTCTTTAACGTGCACCCAAATCTGAGCACACGGGCTTACAACATTTCCGGTGCCATCAGTCAGAAATGCAGCCCCCGCAGCCGGGCTTCAAACCCGCGACCTGCGGGTCAGCAGCTGAGTACCTTAGCCACTAGACCACCGCGGCGGGGCATTTATATATATACTATATATATATATATATATATATATATATATATATATATATATATATATATATTATTCCGGCTGACGTACGAGGTAACTTTGCCCCCACCCCCCACAAGCGAAAGAGTTGGTACGCCACTGCGCTCATTGCCAGCGGGCGTCAGAACATGCGATTATCATATTATCTTCGTGAAATAGATCCGGTCACCCACTAATATGGCACACACGCTAGTGCGTCTATCCTCTTAAGGCCACGTAGTGGGTGCATAGCCATTTCGAAAAGGTTCCATGCACTGAGTGTTTGAAGTACCCACTAGAAATAGGATATCGCTATCGCGTTCAACTCATAAAGGTGATGCTTTAGGGTCCCCTACTTATTGTCTCTTTCGGTTTATCTCACGCTCTCGCTAAGGATCGGCTTCACTCGTTGGCGCTCCGGTTGTTCCTGGGAGAAAGCGCGGTACGCTCCTCCCAGGAGCGCCCAGAGAGCGCACACCCTCGCCAACTAGGGGAGTGCTGCCGCATTCTAATCTTTTCTCAACCACTTGCACAGAGGAGGAAATGTAGCTGCTGAAGAAGTAATCTCGCCTCAGCTTCGACAGGGTGCTCTTCCGACTCGGAAGGGAGAAAGAAGAAGGTAGTAAGAAAGTATTGCAGAAAGGGCGACAGACTCAGTGACCACGTCGTAATAAACCGGCGAGAGAGTGAATGTGAAGTCGCAGAGTGACCATCGCGAACACGGAGTAGGGGAATAAAAGCGCGCTGTATCTGCCAGTGAAGCCAGACTCTCCGGCGTCGTCCGCGCGGGGACTACATCGTCTCCGTATAGGTAAGCGCTTTGTGGCCTGCTGTCTTGTTTTGTACACAATTGAGCACCTCCATATTAGGCTCAATTTTATTACTGCGGCGTCGAAATTCATGCACTTGATGTGTGCCATTGACACTTGGAGAAATAGGAGAAAAGCATGCTCATTTGTGTGCCGTATATATTCGCATAGCACATCTCAAAATAGGCAAGTACAGACTGAGAAAAACACTCGCTCAGTATTTTGTGCAAATACCTTCTAAGCGTTCCTATAAATAAGACTATGCGGTGGTGTATAGTAGTTATACATCACCGCATAGTAGGAAGAAAAAAAAGAATTGTTTTTATTGCGAAGCATTTCTTGGCGAACTTCGGCTACTTTGAGCGTATCTATTTATTTATCTATCTATCTATCTATCTATCTATCTATCTATCTATCTATCTATCTATCTATCTATCTATCTATCTATCTATCTATCTATCTATCTATCAGCATAGCCACCTATGACTTTTAGTTCTCCTGGCTGTTTCGATAATGGTATCGATACCAAAATTGGTATGACATACCATGACTGTATGACAAGCATAAATGACTAGCCATAACATGAAAATCATGAAATGTATGTCATGAATGTCCTGATTTACAAGTCATGGTCTTGCTGCCCTTGCGGTGGTTTCGTTTGCATGACATGTTGAAAAACTGGTATGGTATGACATAACTGCAAAGTGAACACTAACGCAAGGCCCTAACATGGAAATCATGACATACGTTTCAAGTAACAACGTCACTACATACCACATTAATTCATGATGCGCTCGCGGCCGTTTCGCTAGCTTCACATACCGAATTCGGTATGACGTTACTCAAATCGATGAAGAACGTATGTGTTTTGTGCAAATATCATAATCATGAGATGCGTGTCACGTAAGAACATGGCTACATGCGACACTCATGATACGCTCACCGCCGTTTCGCTAGATGCAATTACACCGAATTTGGTATTCCGGGACGTGAATGAAGGAAGAAAATATGTGACTTGTGCAAACATCATAATCACGAGATGCGTGACATGTAACAACATGACCACATGCCATGCTCATAATGCCCTTGTGACTGTTTTGCTAGCTTCACATATACCAAACTTGGTATTACGTGATACGAATGAATGACGAAAGTAATTAGGTAGCCCAAGCATTAAAATCTTGGCATGCATGTCATGTAAAACATGACCACATGCTACGCTCGTTATATGTGCTCGCGGCCATTTCACTAGTTTCACATATACCAAATTTGGTATTACGTGACGTGAATAGTACACGCAGTTGATTCTAAACATGATACTGATGATATGCGTGTCGTGCAAAACATGAGTACATGCTACATTTTTAGCGTGGTCGTGACTGTTTCGCTAGCTCCACATTTACCAAATTTGGTATTCCTTCACGTGAATGGACGACAAGGGTAAATGACACGCCCAAATATGATAATCATGATATGCGTATTGTGTAAAACATGACTACATGCAACGCTCATATCGTGCCCGTGACTGTTTCGCTTGCTCCGCATACACCAAATTTGGTATCACGAGACGCAAATGGGCCACGAAGGTAAATCACACGTCTAAACATGATATTAATGACATGCTTGTCATGGAGAACATGAGCACATGCTACGCTCATAGCCTACAAGCGGCCGTTTCAAAGAGTGTTTGAGGCTGCTGCACATCTCTTTGTTTAGCCATTCCTGTGTTGCTAAATCGATATGGATTTCAAAGGCGCTCATTTTACAATCAAACAAATACATTGTTCCAGAAAAAAAAAGTTTCAAACCAACAAAGACAAGGTCGTCGCCGCTATAAACATCCTAATCACTTCAACTTCTTGATATTTCACACTTTTATTTTCTTTTGTGTTCCTAGAAACAGTGCATCCTTTATTTGCCTTCGTATGAACACAGCAACGATACAATTGTTAAGTAATCGGTCATCTTTTTTGACTGCCTTGATTACGTCACCGAATATATCAATGCCACAAGCTAAATTTCTCAAAGCTTTAGGAACCTTTTTACAAATTTCATTAAAATAACGGTGTTCTTTCTTTATTATTGTCGTTATTATTATTATTATTATTATTATTATTATTATTATTATTATTATTATTATTATTATTATTATTATTATTATTATTATTATTATTATTATTATTATATTATTATTATTATTATATGTTTTGGGTTCTACGTCCCAAAACCACTACATAATTAGAGAGACGCCGTAGGGAAGAACTCCGGAAAGTTTGACCATCTGGTCTTCTTTAACGTGCACTTATTGATTCTAATACTATCACAAGAATTGCGTGTTATTGAACGCCTCTGCTGTCATTAACGTGTTTAGAGCGGAGCTGCGACTATTTCTTCGTCGGGTTTTTTTTTCTGCAAGATCATACACTAAAAGTGCTGAAAGTGCAGTTATCGAGCATTTAGCGACAACGGCAAGCCTTCAGATACGCTTCAGAGGCCACATGGTGATCGCCTAAAGAGCACCCAGTGGAAAGCGGGAAAAAGAAATGGAGCAGTGTTTACGCGTGGCCGCGTGAACGCTAAAGCGCGTTATAGGGACTAAAACACAATAGCGCCACACTTACATGCAGTTCTTTCAATGAGTATTGTGCATTTGTTTTATATTTTTATTCATGTGGAGATATTACGAGTCTACGAAGTACCTAGTGCACAAACATTCTGCCACCATTCCACTCCAATCAATTTTACTAACGTGGTTCAATAACTCTCATCCATCATGATTCTCTGACGTTTGTGAAGGGCTCACTCGTCACCCTAGAAGAATAAGATTATTGAATGAATTAATGTATACACTAATGGCAAAATTTTTTTTACACAACTTTCTTTTAAGGAAAACGTTGCCACTACACGTGGCAACTTCAAAACATGCATTCAAGTGAACCTACAAATGTAGCTAATAGCGCCAAGTGTAGTAAGAATCGCATGTAAAAATAGTGCTCTCCCCGAAAACATGGTTTACTTCTATAAACTCTCCAAGACAAAATATTGCCTCGCTTCCTGTGAAACTCACAAACTCTTATAACTTAAGCTCAATGCAGAATTTACTCTCAAAAACGCAACAGAAACGTTGCTTATACAGACTCGTTCGAAGTTGTATGTGAGATTATTTGTTTTTTAATATTTTCAGCTGAGGCTTGCCAAAACAGTTCATAATAGAGTAATGAATAAATATAAATTTGTCGTACACATTGTTAAAGATACCACAAGCAGGCATTCTTGCCTGCGTAGTAGATATAGAAGCATTGAAAAATGAAATTGGAGCCAAAAAAGGTGTATGCATGTTAAAGCATCACATTTCAACTTCACTGCTTCAAAATTTCTGCTTACTTGCCTCTATTTTTTTTTTACATCATGCATTGCTTTCCTCATAAGATTACGAATAACCCTCAGACACACAGACCAAAAAAAGGTTCCTTCAAAATATTCAGTAAATTTTGTAAATGCATTCTTTTAGACCAGACAACTACCCACCATCTATTAAAAAAATAAGTTTCAGAAATTTGAGTTACACAAGCTGGTTTGTGTGATGGTATGATGAAAGGTTGGCGTGACAGGCCACCTTTTTTGTATTGTTCTATGTCCATTGTATCACACCTTTTTCTTCTATTATCCGAATTTTCCCGGCTTAAAAACGTAAGCGTTCCTGCAACACTTCGTGGTAATAACAAAACACGCACAATACATTATTTGATTTTTACGACAGCACGAGCAACCCAGCATTTTTTTTTTTTGCTGTTGCGTGCAAGTGCACGCTGCATAAGTGAAGAGAAGTACACAAGCGCAGAAAATCAAAGTCATTATAGTGTTAAAAGAAACTCTCCGGTCGCCCATGTAAAGATGCCGGCGAAACTTGCAAAGCGAAACAAGACCACTGCCATAAGAATATCTTGATTGCGCATGTAGACTAAATATACCGAATCTTTGTTGCGTTCTTTTCGTTAACAGATGCAGATCGTAAAACCACGTTATTGAGCCATCACGAATACATTGGAACAGTCCGTATCTCAAATGCAACAAATTACCCTAAGCTAACAAAGTTGTGAGCATATGAAACTTTTGCCTGTTGCCATCCAGGGATAAAATTATACCCCGAATGAAAAGGTACCATTAAATACATCGCAATTGTGTAAACGGTTCTAATTGTTTTCAAAATGTTTGCTTCTGTGCGCTCAGCAAACACGCGCGTCCTTGGGGATGTAATTGGCATGCTTTCAAGGATGAACCTATCGGTCCCCATGACGTCAGCAGCTTCTGCGCTCGCCAGAGTCTTATGTAATAAAGGGTGCGGGTAATTGGCGTATTGATAATAGCACTAAGCTCTCCGTGGGAAAACACGCTTGAGAATAGTGGAGACAACCTTCAGTACCTCACCGGATGCCCTAAAAGTTGAGTGTATGGGAATCTTAGTGCATGGGCGTCACTAGTTTGCGATAAGATGGCCTTCGCAACAACAGGACATTGAAAGCGAGACTCCTGGTTCTGCGAGAGAGGACGGCAATGACAGTCAGAGCTCCACAGCTTTTCATTCATGAAGCCACCCCCGGAGTTTATGGCATATCATTAAACATTATAAATTGAACTTACAACTTCATTTATACTATCTGTCCAAGATTTGGCTGCTAGTTCACTTTTCAGACTCACTGTTGCGTCTGATTTTGTTTATGTGAACCGTGTTCTCTCATATACAATAAGTAAAGTTCGGCTCAAAGCTATAGTGAAGTCACCTCCAATCAGTAGCAGCAAAAAAAAATACCACTTTGTTTCACAAGAAGCCCAAACGAAGCATCATCATGCCCCTTATCTACGATTTATAGAAGAGAAAGAAAGTGAATGAGAGTAGATGTAAGCGGGAAGACTTATCGTGTTCACGAGGAGGAGGGCAGCGGATCAAGGCAGAAAAAATATTCTCGGCTTATGACTGTGCATTTTTTTTCATATTACGAAGTTAATAGAACCCGTGAAGTAATTTTAATTGCCACACTTTTTTTCCAATTTAGGAATGGTCCTAATATTTTCTTAAAATCAGTTTTTTTGTTCATTTTTTTTCTTCCACTGTTTTCTTCAAGTCAAGTAATACAAAGTGTCAATGTATATGATTGCAAGTAACAATGCGTAATTTATTTCGGAGTAGTTGTAAACTGCTAGAATGTACGCCTAGATGTGCATTCTGCCAACAAGTTGACGTCCCACACGTGAAAAGTTGTTTTTACGAGGGAGGTTGCAATTCTTCAACTAGCACCCGCAGTGCACTGCTTCTTGCAGTGAATACAGATTGCGAAGGTTCTCGTTTCTAACCAAGATTCACATGCAAATGGCTCTTTGATAAGTGTACTTTTGGCTTTTACGTCCTCGCTGATGCACTTTACAGCACTCACGTTTGATATATTTTTTAAGTTACACACGTTGCGTAGACACGTGCACCCACATGAATGAAGTTTAGAACTCATAGCCGCAAAAAAGACCCGAGTTTCATTCTGGTTCACTTAAGAAGAGTAGAGCGTTTCCTCCTGCTCCGCAGAGCCTCAACTTGAAAATTCTCTTGAATCCACGTGCGTTTGAAAAACTATTGACATCTTTCCCTTTTCTTATTCAACTTTCTTTATGCAGACCACTCTACCTTCGCCTATCCAAAGAATAGGAAAAATGGCGAAACTCTGTGAAGCTTACGGTAAGTTCACTTTACATTCCCCACCAAAGAACCATGTGCTGGTTACCGAAACACAAAGTAGGAAGTGGTAACATGCCAACAATTAAATGAGCATCGTGAAGTCGCACGGGGTTGCAGCACCATATAAGCATGCGTGGCTCACGACTGGCGGGGTGATGTGCATAGGTGTCACGCGCAAATGCCAGGCACAGCGTTCTCTTTTACTGATTACTACTTGTCCTCCTAACAACTCGTGTTTCTTAGGTGGGATATCTATTAGAGGAATTAGACCATCACCCCAATTTCCTGTTCGAGTTCTTTCTTCCTATTGAGATTATAGTTCTAGAAATAACTATCAAAATTATTACAAATTAACTTATTTAAAGAAACTAAACTACGTGCGAAGCATTCAAAAAACAAAGCGTACGGAAGCCTTATATTTTTCAAGAACAAACATGTGCATTTTCTTGCTTTCAAATGGCAATCCCCATGCTTTCGTATAAATCCTGAGTATTCTCAACAGACATACACAGCTCGTAGATATTGTTCAGCAGAACGTCTCCTGGGCTTCTTCAAGAAGGCTGTTGAAAGTTATCTCATTTCCTGTCGTAATAATTAGGAGGTTGCGTATAAAGTATTTTAATACTTCTGGGAATTTTTTCATTGATTTGTCTTTAAATGATTGTAAACGTACGCACCCTGCTCTGTTATATACTTCATGCGAAGGCGTGTTCTGCACTCCCGATAGTGTATAATCTTCTTGTTATGTTCTTGCGTGCTCTGAGTATAAGCATTTTGGTGCTGCGGTTCCCGTAAGGCTTAGCAGATTTGCCTTTTGTGCTTGTAAGCAACTGTTTCTCGTAGTATTATTAAATAAGGAACTTATAGTGAGCGAAGCGCGTCTTCTAGCGTCATCTACGTGTGACGATACCTCGAAGATATACACGTATAAACGGTTTGTGAACAGCCAGTTTTATTCAATAGCCCAAGCCGAAGTCCTAAGGGAATGCTATCCTCGAGCGGAAGGTTTCGAATGCTGAAGGTGTACACAAGACGGTTTCCTGTAGCGTTTTACCAGTATAGACCAGAAAATTAGGCCCTCGAAGAAGAAGGCTGTTTTGATAGAGCAATAAGACGTTGCCTTCAGTTCAAGTTGTTGCATAATACCAGAATGTACAACACCCTATCTTCTTGTGTGACACTTCCTGCCACGTCTTTCGTTGGTGACTCCAGCAGCAAGCAATCCGGGATGTTTGATATCATCAAAAAGCGCAACACTATATTCTTTTCAAGGAAGCTCCCTAAAAAAGATGCAAACCCTCTGGAAGCATGCGCAGTCAGTTTCCCGATGACACCCGGCAGCCGGAAGCCTTGTTGATTCATGCCTATTTTCTCCTTGAAAAAAAAAAACGACTCGGCACATATCAGAAGCCCCCCTATTACAGCGTGCATTCTGTATTGTTGAGAGCGAACTCTGATTGATATGTGTGGTTTAACGTCCCAAAACCATCATATGATTATGAGAGACGCCGTAGTGGAGGGCTTCGGAAATTTTGATCACCTGGGGTTCTTTAACGTGCACCTGAATTTGAGTACACTGGCCGCCTCCATCGGAAATGCAGCCACCGCAGCCGGGATCCGGTCCCGCGACCTACGGGTCAGCAGCCGAGTACCTTAGTCACTAGACCACCACGGCGAGGCGAGAGCGAACTCCAGACAGAGACTTCAACCATAACGCGCAAGTTATCTTCACAGGGTTTTGTCATGAGGTAGTTCACGTAGCCATGCCATTCCATAAGGACCGATTCGCCCAAAAATGAGCTATATTGTTTTCACTCCAGTTTCGTCAATGGAGGTATAGCGAAATCGTCATACCTATTGCGATGAAGGCTACCTACATAGTGTCTGGCGACTAAGAAGCGTCATCGTGCTTCGTCTGGTATAGTCATCGAATGAAATAAAACGACGGGACAGAGACAGCATAATAAATTTTTTCACACTATATTTTAAAAAAAGGTGACTTAGTCACTAAAATTTGCATCGCGAGGTAACTGCGCTACAGGCATATCGAATAACTTGAGTAATAGAGAAAATAAACATACAAATAGAATACGAATAGAACCGGCGCATTGGTATAGAAAATGAATATGTTTACGTAAACGCAAAGTCAAATAGAGAGAGGTTTATTATGGAAGAAAAGCTTACAGGTCAGCTGGACTCAATTTTGTGGCCTGCTACTACTCAGCATTAGGTGAGGTAAAGGGGTGGTAAGGTAAGCACAGAGAAGATGTTGATGATGAAGGGGAAATATTTATTAGCTTTTCAGCGGGAACACGTGCTCCAAACGTGCTGGCTAGGCTACATCGTCATCTTTCACAACGGTAAATATGCCTGTAACAAGTTCGATTTTTACCAGCTCGCCACAATGTGTAGTAATTCACGCATGTTTTCAACTGTAGGGCATATAGCAATAACATCACTCGGGAGTGCAGGTTCACCGAAGCTGACGTAAATCCCATGAAATGCTCGCTCATAAGAATGCATAGGTGCGCCTATACCACCCGTGCACCACCATGTAGGTTTCTGCAAAGAGCTTCGATCAAGCCCTCGACCGCCCACAGTTAACCCACCTCGGAACTTCTACAACAGAGTCACCTCATGTGAGCCCCGCCGCGGTGGTCTAGTGGCTAAGGTACTCGGCTGCTGACCCGCAGGTCGCGGGTTCGATTCCCGGCTGCGGCGGCTGCATTTCCGATGGAGGCGGAAATGTTGTAGGCCCGTGTACTCAGATTTGGGTGCACGTTAAAGAACCCCAGGTGGTCTAAATTTCCGGAGCCCTCCACTACGGCGTCTCTCATAATCAAATGGTGGTTTTGGGACGTTAAACCCCACATATCAATCAATCAATCAATCACCTCATGTGAAACTTAGTGCAGCTACATTCCAGATATACACGTGCCCCCAATTTGTAATGTATCGTGCACACGTATAAAATGAATGGCGGTAAACCACCATATATATATATATATATATATATATATATATATATATATATATATATATATATATATATATATATATATATATATATATATATATATATATATATATATATATAATATATATATATATATAAGGAAAAGAGGTGCATACCTAAGGGCTTGTTTTTCCTTGTTTTTGACACAATATTATTGAGATCTAACAGACAATGATGCCAAGGAATGTATAAGGGAAGTTATTAGAACAAATAGAATGTGAATAAGAAGAAAGAAAAGAGGGTGAAAAACCAGCCGTCAGCAGGAATCGAACCTACGACCTTCGAACAACGCGTTTGATTATATATATATATATATATATATATATATATATATATATATATATAAATATATATATAGGATATGGCACGACGGGAGTGCTGTCAACAAGGATAAATATATTTATTTCCCAACAGTTTCGGGAGGGGTCCTCCCTTCCTCCCTTCATCAGGGGATGAGTTATACTGACATGAACTTCCAAACTTCGTTGCTGCCGCGTCCCTCTCACCTTGAAAGATGTTTGCGAGAGTGAAAGGGAACTAAAAAAGAAAAGAAAGAAAAAAAAAGAAAAAAAGAGGAAGGAAAAATACGAAAAGAAAAAAGAAAAAGAAAGAAAGGAAAAAAGTAAAAAATAACCACTGTCAACACTGAGAACGAAACCAACTGTCCGTGTACGTCCACATCTGGTTTTTATCACGTGCTGTTCAGTTCTCGACGTGTGTCGGGCCACCCAAGATTGTCGCCGCGGTGGCGGGAGGGGTCCGTGACGGCGTGCATAAAGAAAGGGTTTCCCCTTAAAGGGTCGGTCGGCTCTTTACCTTTATTCTTCGTGCGTTTCGCTTCAATGGTCATCAAGTGGTAGGCGAACATAAACACTTCGTATGTGCATGTGAAAAAAGGAAAAAAAAGAAAAACGAAAAATAAGAAAGGACAGTGTACACGTACGAGTCAGTCAGAAAAAACAAGCATTGTCTCCAGCTATCAATCTTTGTCACTAATTTCCTCCTGGCTTACTTCTCGGAGGCAGGAGAGTTTTCCGGGGTCCTCGTTGATGCCGCCTACTAATGTTCGAAATTTGAAAATAAAATATGCCTCACGCTGTTCGCGCTCGCGCCTGCTTGAGAAACCGGACTGCAAAATAGTTACGCTGATATTTTCAAAACTGTGGTTTGGCAGGCGCAGATGTCTAGATAAAGGTAGCTTCGGCAGTGAAGAATCTGTTCCCGGTCGATTCTATTTGCTCCCCAAAATACACAAGGCAGGCAATCCGGGACGTCCGATAGTATCTAGTAACAGCACATAAACAGAAAATATATCAGAATTCATCAATTCCTTAATAAAAAACATCCCCCCAAATTTTCCCTATTACCTAAAGGACACAAACCACTTCATCTGCGAAACTTCAAGTCTCGACATCCCAGGCGGCAGTTTTCTTGTGACCATGGACGTCTGCTCACTGTATACCAACATACCCCACCATGACGGAATAGCGGCTATAGTTTCTGAATATGTAAAATCTGACTCATCAACCAGTGTAAGGGGCGAGGTACTGTTTACACTTCTTGAACTTGTACTAAATTATAACCATTTTGAGTTCAATGGCAAGCATTTCCTTCAGGTCAATGGCACTGCAATGGGCACGAAAATGGCCCCAAACTTCGCGAGCACCTTTATGGCTTCACTTGAAATCCCATTCATTGAGGGATGAACCTTGAAACATTTCTACTACAGAAGATACTTAGACGATATTTTTATGATATGGAACCATGATGAGGGAAATCTTTTCCGCTTCATAGAGGATTTTAACAAGTGCCACCCATCAATTAAATTCACGCACAAAATTTCCAAAACTAGCATTAACTTTTTGGACGTCACTGTCACGGTCAAAAATGACCACTGGTCAACAAACCTTTACAAAAAGCTTACAGAACGTCAAATGTACCTACATTTCAACAGCAGACACCCAAAGCATTGCGAAACGGGTATTCCATATTCTCAGGCCTACCGGTACCGAAGAATATGCACCGATATGGAGGAATTTCACAGACACGCGGAACACCTAAAGCATTCCTTATTTAAACAAAATTATCCGGAAGACATTATTGACGATGCCATACTACGTGCTCGCAAAGTGAACAGGAATGATATAATTAAGGGACCAAACAGAGTATCTAAAACGACTTCCCAAACGAACCTTGTACTAACTTACTCCTCATCAGCGCCATGAATCAACAACCTACTTTCCCGCCATTTAAACATATTCAGGCAAAGTGAACGACTAACTTCTATTTTCGCGAAGCCACCTCACGTGGTGTACCACAGGGATAAAAATCTGAAGGACATTCTTGTCAGAGCAAAAACAAACACCCCCAAAATTCAATCAGGCTGCCATCCCTGCGGAAAAGCTCGATGCAAGGTATGCCCACAGATGGTCACAACACGTGAATCCAAAGCGAACTTCTCGGATTTCAAATTCTGCATAACTGAAAGCCGTAATTGTCACTCCAGTAACGTAATATACATGCTACATTGCAACATCTGCGGACAACAATATATCGGCCAAACAGACACGCCATTTTGGCTGCGGTTCAATAATCACCGGTACTACGCCACTTCACTGCCGAAGCTACCTTTATCTAGACATTTGCGCCTGCCAAACCACAGTTTTGAAAATATCAGCGTAACTCTTTTGCAGTCCGGTTTCTCAAGCAGGCGCGAGCGCGAACAGCGTGAGGCATATTTTATTTTCAAATTTCGAACATTAGTAGCCGGCACCAACGAGGACCCCGGAAAACTCTCCTGCCTCCGAGAAGTAAGCTAGGAGGAAATTGGTGACAAAAATTGATAGCTGGAGACCATGCTTGTTTTTTCTGACTGACTCGTACGTGTACACTGTCCTTTCTTATTATTGTTTTTCTTTTTTTCCTTTTTTTTCTTTTTTTCACATGCAAATACAAAGTGTTTATGTCCGCCTACCACTTGATGACCATTGAAGGGAAACGGACGAAGATTAAAGGTAAAGAGCCGACCGACCCAATAAGGGGAAACCCTTTCTTTACGCACGCCGTCACGGATCCCTCCCGGCACCGCGGCGACAGTCTTGGGTGGCCCGGCACACGTCGAGAACTGAACAGCACGTGATAAAAACCGGGTGTGGACGTACACGGACAGTTGGTTTCGTTCTCAGTGTTGACAGGGGTTCCTTTTTACTTTCTTTCTTTTCTTTCTTTTTCTTTTTTCTTTTTGTTCTTTTCGTCTTTTTTCTTCCCCCCTTTTTTTTCTTTTTTTTCTCTTTCTTTCCTTTTTTTTAGTTCCCTCTCACTCTCGCAAACATCTTTCAAGTCGAGAGGGACGCGGCAGCAACGAAGTTTGGAAGTTCATGTCAGTATAACTCATCCCCTGATGAAGGGAGGAAGGGAGGACCCCTCCCGAAACTGTTGGGAAATAAATATATTTATCCTTGTTGACAACGCTACCGTTGTGCCATATCCCATACCTTCACGAAGACTAACTGGCCCATTGAATTATTACTCCCACTATATATATATATACATATATATATAAGGGAGAGAAGAGTATACCTAAGGGCTCGTATTTCCGTGGTTTAACACAATATTAATGAGATATAACAGACAGTAATGCCAAGGAATGTACAGGGGAAGTTATTAGAACCAATGGAATGTAAATAAGAAGAAAGAAGAAAGAAAAGTGGATGAAAAAATTACCAGCTGTGAGCAGGAAACGAACCTACGACCTTCGAATAACGCGTTCGATGCTCTAACCACTGAGCTATCACAGCGGCCGTCCCTCCATCCACTTTTTGGGGTTTATATGTGAATTTAGAAGTAGGAGTGACAGTGAGCGCCATCTATAAGCCAAACAACGAGTGTGAAAACACTCTTATTCGCATGTTTTGGCGTCACGTAGCACGTGAACTTATTATGAGTGGGCAGCTAATTAATTGTCCCTCTTATACAACCTAAACACACCAAGTCTGCCAGTACGAGACCCTCGTTCAATGAAATAAGGGAGAGAAGTTTATACCTAAGGGCTCGTATTTCCGTGGTTTAACAAAATATTAATGAGATATAACAGACAATAATGCCAAGGAATGTACAGGGGAAGTTATTAGAACCAATGGAATGTAAATAAGAAGAAAGAAAAGTGGATGAAAAAATTACCAGCTGTGAGCTGGTAATTTTTTCATCCACTTTTCTTTCTTCGTTCTTCTTATTCACATTTCATTGGTTCTAAGAACTTCCCCTGTACACTCCTTGGCATTACTGTCTGTTATATCTCATATATATATATATATATATATATATATATATATATATATATATATATATATATATATATATATAACTTTTTACTGAAAATGTTGTTCAGTACGGCTCTTCTCTTTATTTCTTCTTTACGCCCTGACGTTTTCTTGCCCCGTGAACAGCGTTCGTGCTCCTGATGGCGTGTATCTCTACGGACGTGCTGCTTGTGCACGCTGCGCCCCAAGAAAACTTCGGACTTGGCGCCCTGGTACGGCTTTGAAACTCTCCGGAAAAGACCACTCTACACACTCCTTTTCAGAATGTTATGCGCTCACACAGTTATAGAAAGTAGGGTGCCTTGGTGCGTGCGTTATTCGATTTAGGCTGAAGGCATATGCACCGCCTGCTACCGCATGGCTGCCATATTCAGGTTAACAGTGTCTCACAGCTCGACGAGGGCACCGCAAATTAGTGCCGGACGCTGGCAAGAAAATTGCGGATTGGTGGCATCTTCAAGAAAGTGGCTACACGCCAATTCGTGCGCACGCATCAAGGCACCCTAATCAAATCAACACGGTTCATCGATGATTCGTTCAACACTGCACGCACCGTTGTTAATATTTCTGAGGTCCATCAGCTTCGTTTAACTGTATTGTCTGATAGGACTCATAATTTGTCCCAATTGTGTAATAACTGTGCACAAAAAGTCATGTCGTGGCGTAAAGAGCACAAAACAGTCAGCAGTGTGCAGTGCGATAAAAACATAAGAATAAAGAATATAGTATATGTATAGCTTAGGAATTTCAAGATGACAACATTGAGTTGATGAGCTATACAAGTTATACAAGTACTTTTTTATACCTAAAAAAGTTTACAAGTATACGTCAGCTCCTAGCTGACGTAAAGAAAATCACAGCCACGATATACGAAAATTTCTGTGTAGTTAGACGCAAGAGCCACTGAAGGTAATTTTATATTTTCCATGATACAATGTAGCTATAGGGTACGATCCCACTGGGATAATTCATCGGACACACACAGGTATATATATATATATGCAGCATGCTTAGAGTCACTGATCTTGTAATATTTTACTTCATCTCAATTTTCGCACTGATAGTAGCTCAACTATACGAAGATAGATAGATAGATAGATAGATAGATAGATAGATAGATAGATAGATAGATAGATAGATAGATAGATAGATAGATAGATAGATAGATAGATAGATAGATAGATAGATAGATAGATAGATAGATAGATAGATAGATAGATAGATAGATAGATAGATAGATAGATAGATAGATAGATAGATAGATAGATAGATAGATAGATAGATAGATAGATAGATAGATAGATAGATAGATAGATAGATAGATAGATAGATAGATAGATAGATAGATAGATAGATAGATAGATAGATAGATAGATAGATAGATAGATAGATAGATAGATAGATAGATAGATAGATAGATAGATGTAGGAAGGTATAGCCTGGAGAGAATTGAACACGCTCTGAAAAACGGAGGAAGCCTCATAGCAGAAAAGAATAAACTTGGGATAGGCAAAAATCAGATGTATGCACGAAGGGCCAAAGAAGGCAAAATAATTACCAATATAGATAGGATAGTTAAAATAGCGGAAGAGTTTTACAGATATCTGTACAGTAGCCGGGACAACCCCCACCTTAATACTATGAGAACTAGGAGTAACCCTGATGACACCCCACCATTATAGATAGAAGAAGTCAGCAAAGCCCTAGAGAGCATGCAAAGAGGCAAAGCTGCTGGTGAGGATCAGGTAACATCAGGTCTGCTGAAAGATGGAGGTCAGATTGTGTTAGAAAAACTAGCCACCCTGTTTACGAGGTGTCTCCTAACGGGAAGTGTACCAGAGTCTCGGAAGAATGCTAACATCATTTTAATAATAAGAAAGGAGATCACAAAAACTTGAATAATTACAAACCGATCAGCTGTGTTTTCGTAGTATACAAGTTATTTGCAAAGGTAATTGCTAAAAGAGTAAAGAAAACATTAGAATTCAATCAACCAAAGGAACAAGCAGGATTTCGAGCAAGCTACTCAACGATCGACCACATTCATATTATTTGGTACGTGGGGTTTAACGTCCCAGAATTACCATATGATTATGAGAGACGCCGTAGTGGAGGGCTCCGGAAATTTCGACCACCTGGGGTTCTTTAACGTGCATTCAAATCTGAGCCCACGGGGCTACAACATTTCCGCTCCCATCGGAAATGCAGCCGCCGCAGCCGGGATTCACCGTCCAACTATCAATCAGGTAATAGACCAATGCTCAGAATACAGCCAACCACAATACATAGCCTTCATAGATTATGAGAAGGTGTTTGATCCAGTACAAATATAAGCAGTCGTGCAGACACTGCGGAATCAGGGCGTCAATTAAGCATATATAAACATCCTGGAAAAATTATACAGGGGGTCAACTGCTACAATAGTGCTTCATGAAGAAAGCAACAGAATACCAATCAAGAAGGGTGTAAGGCAGGGGGATACACTTTCCCTAATGCTAATTACCACGTACTTACAGGTTTTCAGACGCCTAGAATGCCAAAAGTTAGGGATAAGGGTTAATGGAGAGTACCTTAGAAACCTGCGCTTCACCAATGACATTGCATTGCTGAGTAACTCAGGGGACGAATTGCAACTCATGATTACGGAGTTAGACAAGGAGAGCAGAAAAGTGGGTCTTCAAATTAATCTACAGAGAACGAAAGTAATGTACAACATCCTCGGAAGAGAGCAGCGCTTCGAGATAGGTAATAGTGCACTTCAATTTGTGAAAGACTATGTCTACTTAGGGCAGGTAATAAGCGCGGAGCCGAACCACGAGACTGGAGTAACTAGAAGAATAAGAATGGGGTTGAGTGCATTTGGCAAGCACTCTCAAATTATGACAGGTAGATTGCCACTATCTCCCAAGGGGAAGGTATATAACAGCTGCATCTAGCCGGTACTTAGCTACGGAGCAGAAACCTGGAGACTTACAAAGAGGGTTTTGCCTAAATTGAGGACGACGCAGCGAGCAATGGATCGAAAAACGGTAGGTGTAACCTTAAGAGACAAGAAGAGAGCAGAGTGGTTTAGGGAACAAACTGCGGTTAAGGATATCATAATTGTAATCAAGAAAAAGAAATAGACATGGGCTGGGCATGTAGCGCGTAGACAGGATAACCGCTAGTCATTAAAGGTAACTAGCTGGATTTCCAGAGAAGGCAAGCGGGTTAGGGGGAGACAGAAGGTTAGGTGAGCAGGTGAGATTAAGAAGTTTGCGGGTATAAGATGGCAGCAGCAAGCACAGGACCGAGTTAACTGGCGGAACATGGAGAGGCCTTTGTCCTGCAGTGGACGTTGTCCGGCTGATGATTATGATACGCTCACCCTTGGCCCAATACACCTAACTAGCGTGAACTCTGTAAAATTGAAACATGTATAACCCACGCTGTGATATACATGAAGTTATTGACCTAGTAGTTGTAGTAGTAGTAGTAGTAGTAGTAGTAGTAGTAATTACTCAGACCCTTTTCTACGCGTTGCATTACTTGACACGTAATTTTTTTCAGCCCATTTGAAGAACAAAATCGCTTCTTTCGACAGCATGCGATAAAATGGATGCCAGGTTACCTATGTGTATTACTGAACATTATCCTGAGTGCTTTAACCGTTTGCTGTTCTATGCGCTTTAAGGAATTCAGCTGAGCCCCGCAGCGGTGGTCTAGTGGCTAAGGTACTCGGCTGCTGACCCGCAGGTCGCGGTTCGAATCCCGGCTGCGGCGGCTGCATTTCCGATGGAGGCGGAAATGTTGTAGGCCCGTGTGCTCAGATTTGGGCGCACGTTAAAGAACCCCAGGTGGTCGAAATTTCCGGAGCCCTCCACTACGGCGTCTCTCATAATCATATGGTGGTTTTGGGACGTTAAACCCCACAAATCAATCAATCAATCAAGGAATTCAGCTTAGTTCGACACGTAAAGCTTAGCAAGCATGCCTGAAAGGTAAAGATTAGAACCCTAATGTTTTAGGGGTGAAGCTGCTTATTATCTAGGGCGATCCCTCTTTCCTCTAGCGTACCCAGTAGCGTCTCCTTTATCTTAGAATAGATGGCACTCTCCCTAACAAATGTACAGACAGACAGACGGACGAACATACAGGCAGGTGGATGGACGAAGGAATGGACACATCGCCCCCCTCATCAACATTCACTTCGTGGATATGCTGTGTTTTTTTTATGACGTTAACGAGTGAGCTTGTGAGGGAACGCGTTTCGCGGATGCAAAAAAAAAACGCGTAACTTAATACAACAGTGTCCCACATGTTGAGTTTGGCGTAGAACTCCCAGAACATTTGCCTTCAAGACGGGATGGTGCGCCTACGGATGCGCGTACGGCGTCTGTCGTTGGCCGCTGTTTCGAGACAACGGCTGCCATCGGTTAACAAGAAAAAGCATGTGTACAGCAGTGGTCTCGGCGTTTCTGTTATGAAGCCACGTAATTGTAGAATAAATCAACAATCCTACTGAAGCCTGCGAATTCGGGTATGCATACTAAAAAGAGTACGCATAATTAACATGCTCTATAGGAAAAGTGTGATGGCAACTGTGCAGCCGGACATCCCACAAAAAAACCTTATTACACAAATTCAATACATTTTAATTTAAATTTTTTATACTTCCTTTTTTTTCACGTTCATAATTTGAATAACGTATATGCTGTAGGCATTAGCAAACATCCACAAATTCGCTCTCTAATGACACTCTTGCCCATCGTTTGTCTGCAGTTGAAACCTATCTCAAAATCAAGATCAAACCCTGAACTGTCCACGAGTTCACCATCCGGCGACGCCACCCGCTACCTGAACTCATCCGCAAAAGTTATCGACTCAGTTCTTCCCGGGAAGTTCGCCGAGACACTGCTGCCCAAGGTAAGACAGACCTGGTGTTTAGATTTCAAAGATCAGTGACGTTCTCGTGCGTATCTGCGAGCGTATACGAAGCCAGCTTGCTGAGGGCTGAGAGACTTTCTCAAAATGAAAATTTTGGCCACCGCAACACCATTTGGGCATTCACGACGGGATGCGATAGGAATCGTTGTTTGGTTTGAAGAATAGCTCTAAATTGTGTGAATTCTCTTGAGTGAAACGGTAACCGCAATGGTAACCTTATTGGGAACTGGTTCGTCGTGTAACTGAAATCACATATTAAATTCTTCAAATAAGATGTTTAATTAGATTCCAGTAATCCAGCTCGTTTGAGAGGCGTAGAACGTTCGGGTTTGTCAATGTGTGTTTGTTGCCCGGGCCCCAGCTGTCTAAGCCACATAATGCCTATTGCTATCACCGCTCTTTCCTCCAACTCAAGTTGAGTGAGAAGTTTCTACAGTCAATACATTTCATCGGGAAACGATCGAGAATGAAAGAATGTGAAAGCTCTAAAGAGCTCGAATAAGGAGTGCCATAAAGCGGGGAAGAAATAGAGTACCAAACGTCTTTGGGATCACTAAGGAATTCTAACGTCACTGGCGGCCAACGTCAATGTCACCTATTACTCCCAGCTGAAAAACCTCGGCTCGCCTTTCCAGAAAACCGTACAGAGCGTGCGTCAAGCGATAAGTGCCTGTACACAGTTTCAGTTTACGAAAAAAGTTAAACAAACGTCAAGCGACCGGAAAAGCCGTATATGTCGAGACAGGAACCATGTCACATTAAGTGTGGATAGAAAAGACTGCACTGTTGCGACAGTCACTTATGTCACCACCCACCATACACTGAACTAAAGGAGTATCTTATCATGGTGCAGTAGGTGCACTTTCTAGCAGGAATAGAATGAAGAAGTGAAATGTTCAATGCTAAGTGCTGGCACACTATTCAATAATGTTGAATTCAGTTCAAATACGCACGAAACGAAACCTTCTACGTGAATACTGCTTTGTCGGGTCTCTTAACTGTAGATATATAGTGTTCATCTATGTGCTTTACATTATGTGTAACAGATATGCTGAACTTCGACAATGCTATCCTTGCCATGGAAAGTGAATAAATATTCATGCAATGCCGCAAAGCTGCATTCTCTGCTAGCTACTTTTTTAAACTTCAGACATTACTTCCAGGAATGCTTCAAGTATTGCTTTTAAGCGAACTATTATACAAAGGTTAATATTTGTGCATTCACCGCTGCTTTTTTTTGTTTTCAGCGCGTTGAAACAAGTAAGTTTTGGGGAGATTTCAGTGCTTCTAAACTAACAGTTGTCATTTTGTAAGCTTACGTTACCCTTGCAGGCAACGTCTCACTTCCAACCTAAGCAGTTACGTGACAAGAACCTTAACAACAGAGCTGCTTATACTGGTCTGTCCATCGTCCGCAGGAACACGGCCTGGCTTTGGCGTGTAATGTGCCGCTGAAAGCGGATATCTGCCAAGAAGTTCCTTCTAACATAGCCATCGATGCCAAGCGATAGCCGATCGATAGCTATAATTGGCAAATAATCTATCCATCCTGCGAAATGCTTGCTTGTGCTTACCATGGCCCAAATGCATTATTGCAGGTTGACAGCTAATCAATAGCTAATCGATAATTTATCCATTACTAATATGCTCTAGAAAATGCTTACATGTGCTTAGTATAGCCTAAATACAGGACCAAATCGTAAGGATAGCCAATCAATAACCAATCATTAGCCATTCTATAATTATTCAATAACCAATAAATTCGACAACATACTTGCATGACCTCGGGCTAAGAGAAATGAATCATTAATTTATTGTGTTAGCCAGTTGCTCATTTTCTTTCAGTGTCTTTGCCCCGCCGTGGTGGTCTAGTGACTAAGATACTCGGCTGCTGACCCGCAAGTCGCGGGATTGAATCTCGGCTGTGGCGGCAGCATTTTCGATGGAGGCGAAAATTCTGTATGCCCGTGTGCTCAGGTTTGGGGCACGTTAAATAATTTAAGTGGTCGAAATTTCTGGAGCCCTGCACTACGGCGTCTCTCATAATCATATAGTGGTTTTGGGACGTTCAACCCCATATATCAATTATATAGTATTTTGTAGTTTGTCTAAAAATTTCGCATGGTTTCAGTTTTTGTATATTTTTATCTTGCTACTACAAAATGGTGGTGACTGTAACGAGTTATTTTTATAACGTAAGTTTTGACATCTGTTATACTTTTTAAAAGTGATTCGTGTGTCCCGTCATTCAAAATAAGAAAGAAAATTTGTATGTTTTTTACCACTTCATTTTTGTGAGTGTATGGGTGGATGGACCTTAGTCGGACATAGGTAATCTCCTTTTAGTCCCTTTAATCTAGGCAAACTTTTTTTTGTCTGAATGAACAGTGAATGAAATGTAATCGACAACCAATCAATTGATAATCGATCAACAACGGATGGAGTGTGGAAATTTTTGAATGAACTTGGCCTGACCCAAAAAATTCATGACCAATATGCTGCTATAAACAATCAATAGGAAATAAATAATTTATAAATGAAAGTAATAAGTTACAGAAAATGCTTCGTCGTCCTTACGCTTGCCTATAGTATAGCGATAGGCAGGAGAGGAAAGCGATGATGTCGAGTAGAGAATCGAGGAGGTGATGACGACAAGCATAGCATAGCTTTGTATAGTTCAGTATATCAAGGAGTGGGAAAGAAAAGTGAGGGGGAGGAGGAGGGACACGAGAAGGGCCACACTATCAGCTCCTCTCATTTTACAGTCCTCACTTCACTAGGGCATAGCTTCCAAAATTATCTTTTTCTCGTCTCTGCTGCAGTGAACCACATTACTACGCACCCACCTGCAAAATAAAGCAATGCCCTCAAATAAAAAAAATTCGCCAGATCCCACGCACCTTGGGAATCAATGTCGTGCGAAGCATGCGGAAGCGGGAAGGTCAGTGGATAGAAACTTTCGTTTATTAAGCGACATGTCATGAAATGACGCTAAACATATGTACAATTTTCACATGCTCATACATAAATTGAAGAGTTGCAGACGTTTATCTAACAAGTTGTTTTCATTTGCGCAACGATGCCAATTAGAACATGCGTATTGGCAACACCAGAAGCTGATATGAAGCGCTGATTCTCGCGAGGGCGCTGGCCCTGGACGCTGCTACATAAATAAACTTCAGCGCACGGCAACTAACCCCAATTGACGCTAACCTGATGTGACGGCGGTATCAAAGAGATACATATATATATTTTATAAAGTTGGGTAGGCAGCATTGAAACTATTGACAGTATCGTCTATTTGAAAAGTAGTTGCGAGACCTAGCGTAGCTCTGTGGTACAATGCTTCATTGCCACGCAGAATGCTTAGATTCAATTCCAGCGGAAACCCTGTCATTTATTCTTTGCATCGTCGGGTTGACACCGCTGATGTCGGGTATTTCTTAACGCTCGCGCGTTCAAATAGCACATGGGTGTTCTCGTAGTTCCTGGGTAGATACTAAGTGTCAATCACCTGTGGCCCATACCCGCATACTAGTGGCGCATACCCGCCTGTGGGTATGTGCCACTGTCTGGCGGGAAATGTTTGACGACGTACGTGACAGGATTGTGACATTATTTATGTCTTGACCAGCACGTCACATTCGTCAAATGGTCTTACCCTCCCATGCAAATTTTGGTTCACGCCACGTTAATGGGGTGACCACGAGAGCATCCAAACGTAACCGGCTAAATAGATAGATAGATAGATAGATAGATAGATAGATAGATAGATAGATAGATAGATAGATAGATAGATAGATAGATAGATAGATAGATAGATAGATAGATAGATAGATAGATAGATAGATAGATAGATAGATAGATAGATAGATAGATAGATAGATAGATAGATAGATAGATAGATAGATAGATAGATAGATAGATAGATAGATAGATAGATAGATAGATAGATAGATAGATAGATAGATAGATAGATAGATAGATAGATAGATAGATAGATACGCTCAAAGTAGCCGAAGTTCGCTAAGAAATGCTTCGCATTTAAAGGTTGTGAAAAACAACCGCTCTGCTGGTTGTTCTTTAACAAGGGCAACTTTGCGCACTTTGGCAAGGGTGCAGCTAAGTCGGGTGCAAACAACATGGATGGGAATTTTTACAGCGAAAGCTGTTATGAGATCACAACTTGGGTCACGCGCAGTTGTCCGCCGCCACCGCCGCTACTACCGCCGCCACCGGTGTTCGTAACCACATTGCGTGAAATTAGAAAAAAAAAGCTAGCAACAATGACACAGTGGGGCTCGAATGGCTTTGACAGTCTTGTCTGGCTTTTTGCACCATCACCACCACAACCATTCACGTATATGTATATGTATGTATATATATGTGAGGAAGGATGCGCTTGCCTCCTCTTTCTGCGAAGCGAACATCGACTTTCCGGCCGCGGTCATCTGCGCGCGCACTTATCTCGTCAGGGAACAAGAATGGAGGGGGTGCGTTTGTGGTTGCTGCGCTATCACGGCAACGATCAGCGCGCGTCTTGTGCCCCCACAACAAGCGGGATCTTCTACGAGCTGCGCTCTCAACATGCAAAAACGGTGCCAAGAGTGGCCATGTTCTCTTAAACAAGCGTTTTGTAGAGTTACGTGATATCGGATCTGAATGAGTTGACTGTCAGTCTCACTTCGCATAACATTGCGATTGCTCGCTATTACATTTATTGCGCCACATTTTCGGTGAAAGCAATTTTGTGGAATCACGCCTGCACCAGTCGCGAACTGCACTTGACAACATGCACACGAGTATACATATCCACCGAGAAAGCTTCTCCAGAGACAGCTAGGTGTCCGGTGGCTAAGAACGTTTTGCAGGTTCTGTACCGTTTGTCATAAGTTATTCCAGTTCATCTGTACCTGTGATTACGTTTCGTGCGTCATTTGTGCGTGAAAAACGCGGGGCGCGATTCGATCTGCCTACCATTCTTCGCGTGGCCTTCAAACTTTTTGCTATTTTGTTCATTGCTTCACTTTTGCGGCAAAAATGTGACTTTTTGTCCTTTACACTGGTGACCTCACAGTGAGCCTGTTTGGGAGCACAACATTCTCATACGAGCAACAGTCTAGTGACGTGTCGCTTTTCCAATTTCGCGGGTTTTCATTGTCAACTTGGACAAAAATGAGAGCACAGTTAGTAGGTTGATGAAAATAGCCCAGTTCCATGTCCCTTGAACGTGCCTACATACATGTGCCTCAGCGATATTTTTATAAGTACGCGTGTACTTGTCGCATTAGAAATGTGATAATGAATAATAAATCAAACTTCATTAACAAAACAATAAGATCACCTGCGGCAGCGGACATGGTTCGCTTCGCGTAACACCCTTTCTCTCTTTTTTAATCATCCTGCGTTATAGCTTGCACATCATGTATAAGCGGCCATAATATTAATCTAACCTCGACTGCGTGTGTATAGCTTAAAGATATAAGCGACTATACAGTATTCAGATGACTGAAGGGATGAAAATGTTTCCAGACACAAACTTTCTTCCATTCCCTGTCTCCTAATTTATTGCAGTTTGACGATAAGAAAGACAAGGTGTGCTACGAGTTCGTGGGCTGCTTCACCAACCGGGACAGGTTCACACACCCGACTTCGTTTCCCAGCGATCCGGAGCGGGTGGACACCAAGTTCATGCTTTACTCGCGCTCCAACCGGCGCTCACCCGTGCAGCTGGACTACCGGCCCACCAAGAGCATCGGTAACCTCGCCCAGTTAAGTCAGCGCAAGCCTCTTAAGCTCATCGTGCACGGCTTCCTCGAGAGTAGCAAATTCCGCTGGATCCAGGACCTCAAGGACGCATTTCTGGACGAGGTACGTGTACGCACGTGTGCAGTAATTGGTTGCACATTTACGATAAAGGAAACGTGTAAAGAGAAATACGCGAGAACAAATATGGCGCGGCGCACACTGCATGTAATTGCCTAGCAAGCTCGCCATGGTGTGATGACACCGAAACGGCCGGATGTGATAGAGTAGGCATGAGGCTATGGTCAGTTTCAAGGGAAAGAAGAAAAAAGACAAATACCGAAAAAAACTGCCCTTATAATAAAGACTTCGCATCGTTTGCGGTCCTACGGTCGGTGCAAAATATATCACTCTCAGCTGACGTACACACAGGCTAACTGGTATAAAGTTGTCAAAGACAGTCTTAATTTTCCAAAATCTCAAAACTGTAATACATTCTTCGCGTGGAGGATTTAACTTTATTTTGTTTGACATAACCACCTAACCTCGCTAATTAGAAAGGCAATAAATTCAGCTTTCTTAATTACTGTCACGAATGATCTCTTAGCCTATTTGTTATGCCTGTGGCTCCCGCCGATATGTGCATGCGCATAGGCGTATGACTTGTTCTCTTTCTTTTTCTTAGTCTCTTTTTTCCCTCTTCTTCCTTCCCCCTTAATTGGGTAGCAAACAGCACAATCAGGTAAACATTCCTGCCTTTTTTGTACCTTTCTCTCTCTATTCTGTGGCTACAGAAGAAGCAATCGCGAAGGCATCAAACAAATATCACATTTCTTTGAGTACGGGGATTTTGAAAATGTTTCTTAAAACTCGTGCTGTGTATATTCAACCAACATGCCGCATACCGTAAAACTAAGTTGTTAATTTATCTTTGTTTTATAGTTGCTTACTTTTGCAGTCCACTTAGTCACCGCGTTCCGATAAGGTGCACCAATCTAAAATGCTACCACTAGCACATAAAATTTACCGTCTTTGTTGGTGGTGCTCAGGTGTAGAAATTACCGGCGCTCTTTGCAAGGCCACATCGCCCGCAGTAAACACTCGACTCCTACGCGTTCGGTAAAGCTCGCCAACTTGTTATTCCCAATGCGTAATCCATATACAGCCAACTTAGTAAACATATTCCGTGCAAAGCATGAAAGAGCAAGACAAAAAATATGCAAATACTCTTATCCGTACTGTGGGCTGACAACGCTCAAGGCGTTCTACTAAATGGTGCCAGCAAGACGAACTGAATATAGATAGATATGTGGGGTACAACGTCCCAAAACCACCATAAGCATATCAGAGACGACGCAGTGGAGAGCTCTGGAAATTTCGACCACCTGGGGTTTTTTAAGTGCACCAGGATTTGACCACATGGGCCTGCAGAATTTTCGCCTCCATCGAAAAAGACAAACTGAAAGCGCTGCCTGAATATAAAAATCTCTCTACTGCTAGTCTATTATTCTTCCTTGAAATGAGGAGACGCTCGAGCCTTCCATTGGGTCGTTTAACTACAATCGCAAAGCTTTAGCAGTGCCCACTGCGTCCACGCCGGAATCGCCTATAGAGTCGCTTGACAATTCTAGTACAATTGCAGAGAGCACTGTTCAACCTTCTTGATTCTGCTCGCAGTTTAATGTTGTGCAGACAGTTACGTGGGGTCGTATTGAGACGTTGAGACAACCGGTCCGTGAAAACCGCCCATGAATATCCTCGGTTTAAACTCGTAAAGCTTTAAAGACGCCGTTGCTTTCTTTCTTTATGTACTTTTCTTTTTTTTATTGTGCGAGTGCGCCCTCAAGATTGTGTCAACGTTCCTCTTGCTGCACATCTATACCAACTGTTCATTTAGTCGAGCCTTTCGCTTTCTTCTCCTTGTATTTTCTGGCACCCCACCACTCCCAGCCCTGTTTAACGAGCTATACACACTGTTTTGTTAAACGCTTTGCCTTTATACGAATTGAAATTCATTTTGATTTCTATATTTTAATCTTTGACAACGTTTTCATACTATATAAGCTGTGCCAGCAGCCGAAATAAGGAAATACCGAGAATACTGATCCCCCTAATGCGGTGCATGCGCCGCCGGAGGCCAACAAAGCGTATAAAACATCCAAAGAAATGCGTGATTGCGCGTCCTCAAGCAGAACCCAGAAAGCCCGTAGCAGCTGTGATGACGTCCAACGGGCCAATAAAGAACACCGTCTCTTCTATGTTTACATTATCGGTCTAAGAATATGTCAGGTAGTCAGCGATGGCGTAACCGCATTTCCAAACACAAAGTGCAATTGATTCATTGGAATGCGATCTCCTCTTCGCGACTGTAGCCGTGTGAGTCGCTGCAGGTCCTCGAGCTCACCCGCAGGAAATTCGCAGGAGGACTGCAACGTAATAATCATCGACTGGAGCGGCGGATCCCAGCAGCTTAGCTATATCAAGGCATCGGGCAACACTGCGCTCGTGGGCCGCGAAACATCGCTGCTCGTGCAACGACTCATCGGCACCTACCACAACACGCTTAGCAAGGATCAGGTGCACATCGTGGGCTTCAGCCTGGGAGGCCAAATCGCGGGCTTCTTCGGCAGACACTTCAAAAACAGCACCGGTCAACTCATCTCGCGCATCACAGGTATTTCTTTTCATTTTTGCGTTAAACCAGTGAACGAAAGTCTGCAGGTGCTTTCGTGTAGCCTGGCGTAGCTCCAAAATGTAAATAAAATGCGCTCAGCCAAAGTGCTGAAAAAATAAAGAAGAAGAAAAATGTAATACAGAGTGCGAAAGAAACGACAACTTGACACCAAAGCGAAATCCGGAGCCTCTTTGGAGACCGCTCGTGCACAGTGTGAGGCACGAGAGAAGTTTTAACAGACGAGAGGAGTTTTAACAGTTCGAATATTACCGAGAGAAGTTTTCACAGTCAGAATAATATTCTTGGGCAAAAATAATCACAAAATTGTTTACAAGCATTATCTGCTCATAGATTAAGTGTAGTGAGCGCGCATGGCGCGAGGTCGCTACCTTAATGTGTGCGATAGGTACAATATTAATGAGAACTAACAGACAGTGATGCCAAGGAAAGTATAGACCTTTCCAAAAACACCTCCCTGGGCGCTGCCATAGTCCTCTTTTAGCTGCGCAAATTGGCGTGACCCTTCAAAAATGCACTGACAAGGCTGCACCCTTCGCCTTTGTACTCCCGCGCGCAGCTTATTATGGAGGTGTTTTTAGTCCCCCCTGTGAAAAGGTGTATAAGGGACTTCATTAGTAGTGATTGTAATGTTAATGTGAATTCCAAGTACTCTAAGTTTTTATTAATGTACATTCACACTACTTTGCTACACTAGGCGTCATTTACATTTTGTATCTGTGTGGACACTACTGGTATGTGTCTCTGGGGGTCGAAGCAGTGTATGTTTCCCACCAGTTTTCTCTATTTCATCTTGTCCCAGCTTTATCGTGTTTTAGACACGGATCTAGAAAGGCAATCACACCCCCGCCCTCTAGTGAACAGTGAGTGTACTTTTTACTAGTTTCACCTCTTCACGCTTCCCCTCTCAAGGTGAAATGTAAGGATGCTTGATATCTCGGTATTTTAGGTATTTTGCTATATTTTTTTTCGGGGAATGGGGCAGGCATCTGTAGACTGATAGTGACTGAGAACCACACATTCCGCTTATCTTACTCGTGACGCTCACGTTGGGTATTCACCCGGATATTGAAATGTTTCGTCCCAATGCTTCATTGTCGTCATTCGCTAGTAAAAAAAAGCAGATGCGCATTTTGTTTAAACTGTTTGCTATTGACTTCGAATGAGAAACTTCTGCTTTAATTTCTTATCGTTCTCATTATTTAACGCTTCCTGTGGACCCTTTTGCTTTTTGGTCGCTGCTGTCACTAACCTGTTTCCTGATGGCAATGGCCTCACACAGCTCTGGATCCTGCCGGACCACTGTTTGACAACACAAGCGTCTGCCTGTCCGAAAGTGACGCCCACTACGTCGACGCAATTCACACAAGCGGCGGCATGCAGATAGTGGCCGGCGAACTAGGCATCGATAGGCCAGTCGGCCACGTCGACTTCTACCCCAACGGTGGCCAGAAGCAACCAGGGTGCAAGCCGCTCGGTGAGTATTGCATTACTTCCCACATTCTGATCTCCATAACCGGAATTGGCACCGACAGTAACTAAACTAAAGCAGGACAAAGACACTTATCGCGGACATTGCTGCAGTCGTGACGTTCGCATGACCACCACCCCCTTCCACATCTTTGATCCATACATCATGTCACACAAACAGCTTCCACGAATGAAATTTCATGCATGCTATGGGAAAGAATTTAACATTGTTTCCCAACGCTTAGAATATTGAAGCTGAGTTTCTACTTTTAACGATGTACCTTTAAGGTGTCACAGTAACGGAACTAACTTGGCCAGAATCTCACTGTCACTGACTCTTCTGTTAAAGCCACTGACCATGTGTATAACAAGCGAAGAAGCAAGCATTCCTAAAAGTGATTCCTTGTTTTCTTAATGCCATTTCAAGTAAAGTAGAGGAAACTATGAGAAGCCCCGCTGCGGTGGTCTAGTGGCTAAGGTACTCGGCTGCTGACCCGAAGGTCGCGGGTTCGATTCCCGGCTGCGGCGGCTGCATTTCCGATGGAGGCGGAAATGTTGTAGGCCCATGTGCTCAGATTTGGGCGCACGTTAAAGAACCCCAGGTGGTCGAAATTTCCGGAGCCCTCCACTACGGCGTCTCTCATAATCATATGGTGGTTTTGGGACGTTAAACCCCACAAATCAATCAAACTATGAGAATAACTCCCTTCAAACGAATTTTTTTCACTTGAAATTCATATGCAATATTTTTGAGGTGAAGTTCTTTTGAACAATCTACTTGACGCGTTCCACTTGCTAATGTGTGTTCAAATTAGTTGTTTATGCTGTTGCTTAAACGAGGAAAACTAAAAAGGTTGCATGAAGATTAAATGTTCGACTAAGCAAATGTCTACCCTTGGACATAAAAGGGGTGTTAAAAAATACAGTTAAATGGCACTTGATTAGCTTCTATGTGGGCTGCCTTGGGGTAATTACTTCATGGCACCAGTTATTGAGAACGCAACTGGTGCCGTTACAAAGGTTTCACGCTTACTCGTTGTTTATTGTATGCGAAATACTAATAGGATCGTTGATAATCTATTTTTTGCTAGTAGCACAACAGTTTTATCTTTATTTTATTTAAGAATTCAAAATCATCACCAAAGTCGCTCAACAGCATTTCACCAACTACTCCAAAGCAACTCGAATTAGCCCAGATAAGAATGTGCAGGGAAAAATTAAGTTGACAGCCTCGTGGAATACAATTGACAGACTATACGCTTTCTCGCTCAATGTCTGTTGGTAACAATAAGAATCGATCCCAAATTTCTAGGCTCTGCTGTCCTGGCGACGAACGTAAACCGCAAACTGATTAAACTATGCAGCAAGCGAAAGTTGTCTCTGGGCTACAGCTGGTAATTAAACGACTTCAGAGCACTTGAACACACACTCACATACGCGCACGGACGCATGTACACACCTATAGTCGGACATACAATATCAGGATTCAGCGGCATTTCCGCTTCAAAGGCGCATGCAGCCAAGCCTGTCCCAATCGGCTCGCACTCCGGACTGACACCATGAGCCGGGTGGCCGGTAACGGCACCTTAGGGTAACGTTGCCAAGGGCATGAGAGAGAGATAAATAAACGTTTATTTAGAAACAGTGTTCTGATCGAGGCCCGGTATCACCCTAAGGTGGGAGGGTTCCTAGTCCAGAAACCCTCAGGCTTTGACTGCCCTCTTGGCCCCGGCGACAAGTCGCTGATCTTCTAAGTCCTCGAGGACAAGCTTGGCCTCCCACGTTTTCATTAGGTGGTTGTCTTTCAATCTTGGTGCTTGGTCCCACTCCAGTTGCATGGCACTGGCATTCCAGGAGCAATAGTGCCAGGGTGTCCGGTAAGCTGCAGAGTGGGCCCATGTAGCCATGTGTCGTTGGGTAGAGGCGGTGCATTAACATGCCATGTGTGTAAGTGTTACTTTGCAGGCGTCTGAAGATCACGCTTAATTCTTTGGTTAGATTGGATGGGGTGGAAGTCAGCTGGGCTGTCCTGGGAACCAAGAATATCCGATCCGTGGCTGTAGACATGGAATACAGTAGAAAACACCTACTCGTCGCTACTTCAACACTACAAACTGGAGCAGCAGGTGTACCCTTCACTCCACCCAAAACTAACAGAAGAAGTGAATGAGCAGGACTTTTGTTGTTGTTGTTGTTCGCGGAGGCGATCGGTTAGCACGCTTAGGTTGTCTGGACGGAGTCTCCGAAATTTTTAAGCTCTACCCGACTGAGGACGCTTTTATGAAAAAAAGCACGTCCTTGTCTTGGTGAACGGGTGTATGGAAGTACGCCTTTTAGCTCCTTGAAGCTGTTCTTATGATGCATTGATGCCTTCTTGCATTGTAGTACGTGCACTCTGCCAATGATAAAAGTTGTAATGTTGCGTGAAACCTCACAACCGCTGGGCCAGAACTGGAATGTCTAATGTTCTTGTCTGGGCTCTGTTTGCCTTGTTTTGCAGATTTGCCATGCGACCACATGCGAGCTACTGCCTACTTCCTCGAGTCCATCCGCAACAAGCAGTGTCGCTTCCTGTCCAACTTTTGTGGCGGAGGCTTCCCCGCACTGGAGCGTAATAGGTGTCAGTCAGGCGGAGAGGGGGGCCTCATGGGTTATTACAGTCACACGGCGCCAGGAAGAGGCGTTCAGTTCCTCACCACCAATGACAAGCCCCAATACTGCAAGACATAAAGCGATCCCTTCCAGTTGTCATATTAAAAGCGAAGCATTTGTTTGCGAACTTCGGCTACTTTGAGCGTATCTATCTATCGTGCAGGATGTGGAAGTGGTTGGCAAGGTACGATACAGTGACCATAGAATGGTACGGTCTCGAATTCACCTGGACTTCAAGAAGGAACAACAGAAACTGATATGCAAGAAGCCAATCGATGAGCTAGCACTGAGAGGGAAAGTACAGGAATTCAGAGTGTCGCTTCAGAACAGGTACTCGGCTATTAGTGAGGAAACCAACCTTAGCGTAGATACAATGAATGATAATCTGACGAGTATCATTACGGAGTGTGCAGTGGAAGTTGGAGGCAGGGTAGTTAGACAGGACACTGGCAAGGATCAGGTAACATCAGATCTGCTGAAAGATGGAGGACAGATTGTGCTAGAAAAACTAGCCACCCTGTTGACGAGGTATCTCTTGACGGGAAGAGTGCCAGAGTATTGGAAGAACGCTAACATCATCTTAATACATAAGAAAAGAGATGACAAGGACTTGAACAATTACAGGCCGATCAGCTTGTTCTCTGTAGTATACAAGCTATTTACAAAGGTAATTGCTAAAAGAGTAAAGAAAACATTAGAATTCAATCAACCAAAGGAACAAGCAGGATTTCGAACAGGCAACTGAGCAATTGACCACATTCATACTGTCAATCAGGTAATAGAGAAATGCTCAGAATATAACCAACCACTACACATAGCCTTCATAGATTACGAGAAGGCGTTTGATTCAGTAGAAATATCAGCCGTCATGCAGACACCGCGGAATCAGGGCGTAGATGAAGTATATATAAACATTCTGGAAGAAATCTATAGGGGATCAACTGTTACCATTATGCTTCATAAAGAAAGCAGCAGAATACCAATCAAGAAGGGTGTAAGGCGAGGGGACACAATCTCCCCAATGCTATTTACCGCGTGCTTACAGGAGGTTTTCAGAAGCCTAGATTGGGAACAGTTAGAGATAAGAGTTAATGGAGAGTACATTTGTAACATGCGCTTCGCCGATGACATTGCATTGCTGAGTAACTCAGGGGACGAATTGCAACTCGTGATTACGGAATTAGACAACGAGAGCAGAAACGTGGGTCTTAAAATTAATCTGCAGAAAACGAAAGTAATGTGCAACAACCTCGGAAAAGAGCAGCGCTTCGAGGTAGGTAATAGTGCACTTCAAGTTGTAAAAGACTATGTCTAATTAGGGCAGGTAATAACCGCAGAGCCGAACCACGAGATCGAAGTAACTAGAAGAATAAGAAAGGGGTGGAGCACATTCGGCAAGCACTCTCAAATTATGACAGGTAGATTACCACTATCCCTCAAGAGGAAGGTATATAACAGCTGTATCTTGCCGGTACTTAGCTACGGTGCAGAAACCTGGAGACTTACAAAGAGGGTTCAGCTTAAATTGAGGACGACGCAGCGAGCAATGGAAAGAAAAATGGTAGGTGTAACCTTAAGAGACAAGAAGAGAGCAGAGTGGATTAGGGGCAAACGGGGGTTAAGGATATCATAGTTGAAATAAATAAGAGGTGCACATGGGCCGGGCATGTAGCGCGTAGACAGGAAAACCGCTGGTTATTAAGGGTAACAAACTGGATTCCCAGAGAAGGGAAGCGGGTTAGGGGGATACAGAAGGTTAGGTGAGCAGATGAGATTAAGAAGTTTGCGGGTATAAATTGGCAGCAGCAAGCTCAGGACCTGGTTAACTGACGGAACATGGGAGAGGCCTTCGTCCTGTAGTGAACGTAGTCAGGCTGATGATGTTGATAATGATGATGATGATGATGATGATGATCTGTCTGTCTGTCTGTCTGTCTGTCCTGCTGCCTACGACTTTTAGCTCTAATGGCCGTTTCGATAATGGCATCGATACCGAAATCAGCATGGCATTACATTACTGTATGACAAGCATAATTGACTAGTGATAACATATAAATCAGAATATGTATGTCATGAATGCCATGATTTACATTTCAGTATCTTGCTGCTCTTGTGGTGGTTTTGTTCACATGACCTATTGCAAAACTGGTTTGGTATGACATGACTGCATGGCGATGATAAGTGACCGACCCTAACATGGAAATCATGACATGCATGTCATGTGTGTCATGACAAAACGCCACGGTCAGGTTGCGCTCACCGTCATTTCGTTAGTTTCACATATACTAAATTTGGTATTATGGGACTATAATGGATGACGAAGGAATATGACTGGTGCAAACACGATAATGATGAGATGCGTGACATGTGAGCACAAGACTACATGCCACGCTCATGATGCGCTCGCAGGCGTGTCGCTACCGTCACATGTACAAAATATGGTATTACGGGACGTGAATGAATGACGAAGCTGGGTGACTGGTGGAAACGTGATAATCATGTGATGCGTGTCATGTAAGAAAATGACTATATGCCACGCTTATGATACGCTCGTGGCAGTTCCGCTAGCTTCACAAATACCAAATTTGGTATACATGACGCGAACAAACGATGAAGGTAAATCACGTCCAAACACAATAATCATGATATGCGTGTCATCTAAAACAAGTCTGCATGCTGCGCTAATAGTGTACTCACGGACGTTTCACCAGCTTCACATATACAAAATTTGGTGTTACGTAATGTGAATGGATGACGAAGATCTATGATTGGTGCAAACATGATAATCATGACATGCGCGGCATGTAATAACATGACAACATACCCCGCTCATAATGCGTTCGCGGCCGTTTCGGTAGCTTCACATTTACCAAACTTGGTATTACGTGACATGAATGGAAGACGAAGGTAAATGACACATCAAAACATAATATTCAAGACATGCGTGTCCTATAAAACATGACGACACGCTACGCTCATAGCGCGCTCGTGGCCGTTTCCCTAGCTCCACATATACCAAATTTGGTAACACAAAACGTTAATAGACGACGAAGATCTCCAAACATGACAATAAATAAATGAAAGTAATAACGGCATAATTTACTTCTGCCTTGCAACGTTGTGCTGATTTCAAAGTGACATATCAACCTATCCCATTCGCGCTTTGCATATCATTGATTCCCGCTGTACGTGGAATCTGTCAATTTTTTTTTCTACTGAACGGAGTGCCGATGACTGAGGAGTTGATGACTGGGTCCGTTCAGGTGGTGTTACCAGCACAATCACGGCTATTGTGTGCAGAGAGTTTTGTTGTGGCATACTGAACAATGCCCAAACAATACATATCTTATTCTTCGAGTGTGGTGAGCATCGTGAACTGAGTGGGAAAACTGCTTGGGCAAAGGCTCGCGCCGCAAAGCTTCAGCAGTGAATATCTCTGCTGAAAGGGTCTCTTCGTAGCTACAGGTACAACAATGAAAAACCTAATACGAAATGTAACAGGGAATGGAAGTGGCAGAGACCTGTACCTACGGGGGTCTAGTAATGTGAAGTTGTAACCCTAAAATCATGACAGAAAAGTGAAACGGCACATTAGTTTGGTTTAAAAGATGTAACGTCCCAATGCGGCGCAGGCTATGAGAAACGCCGCACTGGAGACGAGATGTACTTTTGGCACCAATCAGTTATCGCTTCTTTCTACATGATAGTCCCCTATTAAATACACACCGCAACACAATGTACTCATAGAGGCGTGATCTAATATTGCTGTTTTGAATATCACACATTATCAATCTTTCTATTAGACATATATACTATACAAGCAACTGTAAGGCCACATACATTTACAGTTACTTTGAGTTATCACACGTTGAACCGTTCAGCAGGCATAATCTTTGACATACAATTAATTTTGGCGCCAGATTTTTATTACTTACTAACTGCACATACGTGTGCCATGACTAAGCACAAAAGTATTATTACAACATAGTGAAGAAAATTATAGTCCGCATAAATGTTCATAAACTTGTCACAATTACAGCATACTTTATATACTTCTACCAGTAAGGTAACGTTATAATCCGTCACGTATGCAGATGGTAAATTTTACTAACCTATATGTACCAGTAGTGATGACAAAGTATACGACCTCTCATGTATTTAAATAACATGTAGTATAAAACGTACACGACACGTTGTGAAGTACACACTGCAGGGAGTAGCAAATGCACCAGGACGGCCGCTTTAATCGGTGTTAGGCTGATTCAGTGCGTTTTCAGTAAATTCACGAAGTTTCAGTGTTTCCGCATTATCATAGATAGCGACAGTTGTATACATTGCAAATTCACCTGTAGAACGCCTGAATATAATAGTTGTCATTGTAAAATATTTCGCCCTCCCCATATAACTCAACAGGCGGGTCATTCTTTGCGTAAATGCTAGAGCTATAGATAGCATAGGTAAGAGGGTTGCATATTGGTATACGCCCAAATAACGTGAAATATGGAGGCACTGTGTGCGTCTCAATAGACAAGTGTTTCAAATTCCCACACCAACAGTTATGCCTTAGCACACAGCCTATGACGAGCGGATAAACGTTTTCTTGCGCTCATATGTCCCAGTTTTGAATCTCACAATCGAAAAAATTGCCGCTCACGCTCAGGCACAAGGGCCCAGGTTCTGAGCTGAAAAAGAACCAACGAGCTGGCACGACCAGAGAACATGTGTGTTCCGCGCAAAGTACTAAGGTAGGGTGGAATAAAATGAGACACGGCGCAAAACACGATATTTCGACTTTGCCTACTTATGTAGCTAATACAAAAAGTACTTTTCTTTGCTTCTCTATTTCAGCAATAAGTGCTGTTAGTTGTCTACCTTTTGATGTGTAAACTTTGTCATTGCTCACAGCATTTGCGTAAGCAAATTTACCCAGTTGGTGTCGGTGTGCTGGTGACCGTCCAGAAGCAAAATTCTTTTCAGCCATTTTTGTTATCTATGCATGAAACTACTCCGATGTCAGTTCAAAAACTTACGTATTTATTTTTTTACTTTATACAGTTAGCTACACGAATCCAAAAGTTTGGCTAGTTTGGTGTACGGTGCCAAAGCGGGTTTTTTTTTCAATTCTGGCATGTTGGA